CTCAAGCGCTGAGGGAAGGTCATCACGTCCGTGTTGCCTGTGAAGAAGCGTGGCACGAAGGAGGGGGGTGAGGGGCACTGCATGGCCTGGTATTCCAGACCGCAAGGTAAGCCGCGCAGGAAGTAGACCACCGGGATGTCGAGGACACTAGCCAGGATGGTGCCGCAGGGCAGGAAGGGGTCCGTCAGAACGACATCGAAGCCCTCAGACCGCAGCTTGTGCATGAGCGGCTCATCGTACAGCAGCCCCTTGCAGCCCCTCACTTGCAAGGCAGTGAAGTTCAGCAGGAGTCCCACATTGACGAAGAGGTCCATTGCCTGAGGACGCTTGCCAAATGCGTTGTCCCGGAATTTGTTCATGTTGTCTTCCAGCTCCTCCTTGTTATAGGGTACATGGAAGACCTCCGTGCGTCCGTATGTGGAGTCCCCGATCAAGATGCTGGTCTCGGGCACCAGCACCACGGTGTCATGGCCCCGGCGTGAGAGCTCGGCGACCAGCATCCGCATGCTCAGCCAGTGGCTGCCTTCCACGGGCATGACCAGCACCTTGCCCCCCTGCACGGGCCCCACAGCGCAGGTGCCCAGCCAGCCCAGCAGTGCAAACAGGGCCACCCTGTTCAACCCCGTCATGGCTCTCGGTCCTGGGAGCAGCAGAGCGAAGTCTGTGAGTGGGACGAGTGCCTCTCCGTAATCTGGCAGGCAGAGCGGTGAAGAGGGGGCTGTACTTCCAGGCTGAGGGTGTGTGTGTGTGTGTGTGTGTGTGTGTACGTGTGCGTGAGAGAGAGTGCATGAGGGCATGTGTGCACGTGTGCGTGTATGTGTGCAGCGCAGTCTGTATCTCTGCATGTATGCATGCAACCACCCAGTGCATGTTCATAGGCAAACCATAATCTCAAAAAGGCAACACAGCTGTAAACAAGTCAGCTTCGCGTAGACAGTTTAAGGAGGAAGGAAAGCAGAAATTCTCTACAGTTTTCCATAAATACTGCGATGCAAATGTTTAAAAAAAAGTTAATATGCAATGTGTGTACTTTATTTGTATCCTAATAAATCATGTATATTCCCCAGTATCTGATAAAAAAATGACACATATAGAGGATTCTCGACCCAGACTATATGTGTCTGCTAACAAAACAGTAAGTATGACTATCCGGATCGTCAGCCAGATGCTTTGCTCGCAAATAACTTCACTTCCCTATAATCTCCGGACTCGCAAGGAAGGAACAAAATAACCCAGCGATCAGTTGTTTGTTTGGTGGCAACACTGCCTCATGTGTCGTGCGGCATCCAAACCCTTTTCCTTACCCTGGAGCCATCCCCCACCCACTCCAAATAAAGGTATGGCGTGAGAAGCCGAGAGCCTCGTAAAAACAAACAACCTTATTTCCACACAGGAAAGTGAGATAAAATATCACGAAATGGCACCGGGGGGTGCAATAACAGCGGCAACACGGCAATCTGGTTTATATATAAACTTCTATTTTAAAACAAATGGATTACGTTTACCTTTTTCACTCGAATTGAATAGTCTTCAACCCAACATTTTTTTTACAATGAGAGCTACTTTAAAAAATCTCTTGCTGAACTGGGGGGGGGGGGTCCGCTCGGGAGCACACTATCGCCATAAACTAAGAATATCTTACAGATCGACCTGTCGTTCACAATCAAACAGTAGACGATCAGAAATAAAGATTATCCCATTATTGCTGAGTCAATATTCTACTATTTCTACTATTTTCCTACATGCATGGATGCATGTTTATAAGCTCTGTATTACGGATACCCGAGATCGTGTAGAGACTGAACTGTGGCATCGCCCCGAAATTCACAGTTCCACGCCCCAAAAGGTTTATGTCCTAACAAAATATATGTCCGCTAACTTCATTCGACTGGAGCTTCGCACGAACAACGTGGTTAAGCACTAAAACGCTGCCAGTCGCTGTAGGATTTTGCTTCTCTTTTGGTTAAAGAAAAAATTTAATGAGTTTTCAGAGTAATTGTGGCGAGGGTTTGCTCCCCATGAGCGTACGAGGGCTGTAAAACCAACATTAAATAGAAAACCACAATGATTGCGCAAATCATGAAGTCTGGCGCTAGTGATGGTTGCCTATTTGTAATGTTTCGTAGGGTGTGTGATTTTTATTAAACTGTTGCGTCTGCAACTTGTCTGTCTTGACCATGTTGCTTCAGAGACGATCAGTTAGTCCCGCTTGCTGGCGAGGGTGAGTCCTGTAAGCTCCGTGCTTCACAGCTTGTGCAAGAGAGATTAGGCAACACTGTAGCCGTAATATTAGTGCTTCTGAAAAACTCTAATAAAGACACAAAGCACTCCCTGAAGAAAATGCAGCTGATCTGCATCAAGAAATTTCTATGGGTAAATTTCCAACAACTAGGCTATTTATAAATAACTCAGACTCAGATTAGGGGTGCAGCAGGGGTTATTTGTTAGTTATTGGGAGATCTATCGCGATCAAAACGTGACAGCCTTTTATTTATATTTTACTTATATGACCCGCGGCATGATTGAAATAAAATCTGGCCTGCAGATCGATCTTTCGTCTTCCACAGAATAAAAAACTAATAAGCGCTGGTAAATTTCACAACATATGTTCTGCCCTTTTTCCTAGTGCTACGGGGCAGGCATAAATCAACATTACATCACACGTCGATAATGTATGAGAATGATTGCTACCCTTGCGTGTCGACGTGGTTTATCTTAAATATTAGTCATATTTTGTTGATATTTGTGTTTATTACAGACAACCCGAGATGTTAATATATTGTTTGTATTCTGACGGATTTTATCCATAAATTTCCACGGTACGCGTGTATTTGTTTTCCTTGTTGAGACTACTTTAAATTGTGGTCTTTGTTTTAATTAAAGTGAAATATTTAATCTAAATAATAACAGCCATGTACGATCCTGTTTTATCTGTAACTAAACGTATTTGACATTCAATTCTTATTCTGAGTCATAAGTCATAAGAACGGAATCATAAGTCGACTGCATTGTTAACCCTTAACTCAGCTCTGAAAATCATGAACGTCTAATTCAGCAAGCCTGGTTTGTCTCACTCTCATTAACACCCTGAGCAAGGTACTGCCCCCAAGCACTGCTCCCCAGGCACTGAATTCCTGTTCCAGTCCCTGCCCCTGAATCCCTGGATCCTGCTCCCGTGCCCCGCCCCTCGTCCCCAAGGAGGTCCCTGATCCCCCAAACCGTGCCCCTGGCTCCCATGCCCCCAGTCCCTGTCCCCGAGAAGGTCCCTGATTGCCAGACCACCGCTCCTCCCTCCTTAGTGGAGATGGAGGAGGAGCTCGAATGGAACCCCTCGGGAATTACCCTGACTTCCCCAGTGACTCCCCATGGAGTGACTCCTCCTCCACCACCACCCCAGCATGACAGATCCCGGCCGGGTCCCCGCCTCTTGGTCTCCTGGAAAGGGAGAGGACACCTGCTCCAGGGTTAGGGTCCCGCCCATCCTGCCCACACAACCACTTGTTTCCTCAGTCTCAGTCTCATTCTTTTGGTCACTACTAAAGGCTCATGACCGTAGGTGAGGGTAGGAACATAGATTGACTGATAAATTCACCTTTTGACTCAACTCTCTCATCAGCTGACAAATATGTTTATATAACTACTGATGTTGCACCGATCCGACTGTCAATCTCCCTCCATTCTTCCATCACCCGCTGCTCATTTGATGAGGATCGTGGGGATAGTGAAGCCATTGCCTCTGGTTTTGTGCAGCATTCAGACCATTCCCTCAACATTTACGGTTATTTTATGTAACAAGATCTTTGGTTCTAAGCGATGCATGAAAGAAACAGCCTTATTTCCACGTAAGAAAAATAAATAGTCTCAGAAAATGACAGGGACCCAAAAAATGATGCATCCCACACCACCCACCCAACACACCCAGACGCCCCCTGCTGTCTGTCTTGCTGATATTGCTTCAGGAAATTAACTAGATGACCTGTTGCATAACAGCTACAAACAACACAGTATCTGGCCTTAATTAAAATCCACTTGTTACTTACACAAATTGAGACCAACTCCAGTCCAACTTCAGAACTACAGAGAGATGCTGAGAACTGTCTCATCTCTGTGGTTAAGCTTTGTTTGATGACTGGTTTCACACTGAAAATGGGCAAATGTAACATTTATTCCGTTTCCCAATAGGCCGGAAATATGTTAAACAAACAGGGACTTTTAAATATAATCTACCACCTGCACTGTACAGTGAGTCACTCATTCATTTTCCAGCCAATTAACCTGGACAAAGTCATGGGGGCCTGAAGTCTGTCCAGGCAGCATGGGGCACAAGGCTGGAATACAGGATGCCAGTCTATAACAGGGAGCGAGCACNCACACACACACACACACACACACACACACACACACACACACACACACACACACACCCTACAGACAGAGCAGAGACACCAATTAGCCTAACTGCATGTCTTTGGGCAAAAACAATACACCCCCTGAGGTATCATTAGATTTCTATTTTAATTCTACCACTACAAGATGTGACAGACATACGGCCTCCGTGCACCTCAAGTGTGTATAAACGTTTTGTAGATCATAACCACTCAATATGAATTTCCCTCAATCTCCAAGCAAGGCCTGTCCATTTAACCCTTTCTTGAGTATGACTTACTGAAAGGGCCTTTAGTGTCAAGTTAGAAAAATAGAGTGTAAGTGAAAGATCACATCCATAGCACATCCAAGACATAGAGAAATCACTCTGTGGACACATGACGATGAAATGCTGTTACTTTCATTAGGGGGCGCGATACTTTCCTTGCTTCAAGATTGAGCTGGAGTGTCTTCTTCATACGCAGGGGCCAATTAAGAAATGGCTTTACTTGGGTTTGCCTTCAGAAAAAATACTCAAGTATTACAGATTACCATTGTTATTCCCACAGATGGGTGTAAAACGGAATTAGACTTAAATAATCAGTAATAATTTGAAGAGACACCTAGTTAAACTTGGTTGTGCTTATTTTAACATTATACAGGTTTTAAGTCATGGGTCTATACATTTGTAAAATATGTTACAGAAGGTTTATTGTAGGGCAGGGTTCTCCAGTTCCGGTCCTAGGGGGCCGGTCTGTAACACAATTTGCAGATTTCCCTGCTCAGACAAACTAAACCTGACAATTGGCTGGTGAGCTGAATAAGGTGTGTTTGAGCAGGGAGACTAGCCCTCCAGGAGTGACATTGGTGAACCCTGGTGTAGGGCATTATCTACTTTACTATCATGAGTAATGTAGGTTGTGTTTCTTGTTTATACTTCAGCACAGTAGGGGCATTATGCATCTCGCAGTCGCAGTTTAAGTATCTATAGAAGAACAAACAGTAGCATGTGATTGTTTTAAAAAGGAGTGTAGCAAACAACCTCCAAGCCCTTTTGTTTAAACACTTACTGTTATATCCATTAAATAATTAAATATTGAAAGTCTGAGAAGATTGTGACTAACATCTTGATAAATAAGTTCATATAGGAATTGAGGGTAGTAACCTTTCACACATGTTTACCACCACTCAAAGTACAGTATGCATGCATGCAACAGAGATGTTCACCATGCATTTGCACACATGCATTAAACCATGCATTTGCATGCATGCAACAGTGATGTTTAACACTCAAATCATGCATTTAAACCAACTTTGTAAACCAGCTGTTTGCACTCTGCATTAAACAATGTTTGCCATGCATTTTCATGCACCCATGCAACAGTGATGTTTGCCATCACTCAAGCCATGTGTCTGCAAGAGACCCTTGAGGTTTAGAGGCCCCTGCTGGCCATAAACAGTTACTATACTAGGGGGGACAGGGGTCCCGGGGTCCCGAAGTGCCTTTTTCAGTAGGACCCCAGAAACAACAAACCCACCCCTGACACGACACACTAATTCATGAACCGTGGTCAACGCCTAGCTAATGACAGAGCCGCTGCATAGTGCCCAGTACACAGTGTTCCTTGATGTGTGCACAGGGCATGAGGTCTTGTACAAATGTGTGCACTCGCAAAAACGCTTCCGATTCAACTCCCTGTTTGAAAAAGTGTGGCAGATGAAAGGGTGGGGGCAGCAAAGAGGGATTTCCACACAGCCCCCATTGCATGTATACCAGTTTGTACGCCTTCTCCTTCTCCTACCCTTGTGTCTGGAAAAACACTGAGCCTGTCAGGGCAAAAATGTGCATCCCCCTTCCCCTGAAACCCTTTGGGGGGGGGGGGGGCAGCATGGTGATTGGCATGCAGTGAAGCAGTGATCTGGAAAATAGCACGGCCCTTTCTGGGGTAATGATAGAAACAGTGCGTTGTTGGAGCAGCAACGAGATGGGCAACAGACAAATAAAGCTGCTCTCCCAGGTCGGATTTGTTACGGTGTTTTACAGATCATGTCGGAATGTTGCCTAGTGACACGGAAGTAAGGGCTGTAATTCTTACCTACTGGGGGTGCTCACACATTCATAATGGGTGGGTTTAATGGCAGGGGGGGACCAAACAAAAGCCTCATGCTGGAGTTCCAGTGTCGTCATCTCAAGGGACTCACCGCGGGGAGGCTGTTCCTCTCGGCACAGTTGATACCTCCAATGAAGACCATGTTTGGCATGAGGGGTCGGGGGTACTCGAAGGTGAAGTCGTACCTCAGCAGCCAGATGGCGCCATGGCCAATGAGCTCCCTGTAGGTGGTGACTCGGCCCAAGTACTCGCTGGCCAGCTCGTCGAAGCTGGCGTAGATCACGCGGCACAGTTGTATCTCCATAAGTGTGGAGATCATGTTACTCAAGCGCTGAGGGAAGGTCATCACGTCCGTGTTGCCTGTGAAGAAGCGTGGCACGAAGGAGGGGGGTGAGGGGCACTGCATGGCCTGGTATTCCAGACCGCAAGGTAAGCCGCGCAGGAAGTAGACCACCGGGATGTCGAGGACACTAGCCAGGATGGTGCCGCAGGGCAGGAAGGGGTCCGTCAGAACGACATCGAAGCCCTCAGACCGCAGCTTGTGCATGAGCGGCTCATCGTATAGCAGCCCCTTGCAGCCCCTCACTTGCAAGGCAGTGAAGTTCAGCAGGAGTCCCACATTGACGAAGAGGTCCATTGCCTGAGGACGCTTGCCAAATGCGTTGTCCCGGAATTTGTTGATGTTGTCTTCCAGCTCCTCCTTGTTATAGGGTACATGGAAGACCTCCGTGCGTCCGTATGTGGAGTCCCCGATCAAGATGCTGGTCTCGGGCACCAGCACCACGGTCTCATGGCCCCGGCGTGAGAGCTCGGCGACCAGCATCCGCATGCTCAGCCAGTGGCTGCCTTCCACGGGCATGACCAGCACCTTGCCCCCCTGCACGGGCCCCACAGCGCAGGTGCCCAGCCAGCCCAGCAGTGCAAACAGGGCCACCCAGTTCAACCCCGTCATGGCTCTCGGTCCTGGGAGCAGCAGAGCGAAGTCTGTGAGTGGGACGAGTGCCTCTCCGTAATCTGGCAGGCAGAGCGGTGAAGAGGGGGCTGTACTTCCAGGCTGAGGGTGTGTGTGTGTGTGTGTGTGTGTGTGTGTACGTGTGCGTGAGAGAGAGTGCATGGGGGCATGTGTGCACGTGTATGTGTGCATACGTTCAGTGCAGTCTGTGTCTTTGCATGGGTGCATACTAGCTGTAAACTAGTCAGCTTCACAGTGGGATTTTCCCATACACAGCTTAATGACGAGAGAGATTAAAATTACACTGGGTCACAGAAAACCACAAAACTTCCTTAAAGTTTTGTGTTTGCATGGCAAACATTGTTTAATGCAGAGAATTCACAAAAGAATTGTATCAGGTTCAAGATCTCTACAGTTTTCCCTGATTACTGGGATGCAAAAGTTTTTTTTTTTTATTTGCAATGTATTTACTTTATTTGAATTCTAGTAAATTATGTATATTCTTTAGTATCTGATAAAAATGACACATACAGAGGATTCATGGCCAAGAGTATGTGTCTGCAGACAAAAAAGGTGAGTATGACTGTTTGTTGACATTTGTCAGATGCTTTGCTTGCAAATCACTTCACTGCAGGTTTTTGTTTTTCTAGCGGACCTCATAGTGACTATACTTTGCCATAAAGCGACTATGTTATAAAAGAACTGATAGTAAGATGGCCATAGTACACACTGCTCTTGCGTAAAAACCCTTTTGATGTTGGTGCGGCTGCGTACAAACAGCCCAGACTCACCAGGAAGAGACAAGATAACCCGCCGATTGTTTGAGGAGGGCCATGGGGTTGCTGGGGGCATTGCCTCATGTTTTGTGTGGTAATCAGGTCCTTTCCCCTACCACAAACTGCAGCCTCACCAACTGGAATAAAGGTATAGCGTGAGCAGCCGGGGGCCTTATTTCCACACGGCAAAGGGAGACAAGGTCTCACGAAATGGCACCAGGGAGCAAAGGTGCGTGAACATAGACAGAAGCCCCCTGGGTAATTTCAGGTGTCAGAGTCCCGCCCACTATTTTCTACGATGGTGTAGTTGTCTGCCTGAGAGGGCATGGTCCAGATTAATTTGAATTTCGGTTCAGACACAAAAATATGGGGAAAATCACATCTTGTATTGAATCAAAACGGGACTCATTTTAGTTTTCGTAGATTTATTTTTCACTGTAAAGTATCCAATGACAGACCTATTTCAACATGATTATTTATAATAAATAGATGCTGTTGGAAGGCCAACAATGTGCTGAATTCCCCGGATGCCCCCCCCCCCCCCGAATCTAATCCCAACTCCTCTCACCTAAGGAATTCTAAAATGCTTAACGCAAAAAAAAGCCTAACGTGTCTTAATGTATCTTGCGGCCTTTAGCGGTTGTCAACACTGTCCTTTGTAAACTGAATAAACCCACAACCTAACGGAGAAGCTATATTTTGGGCATTAACTGTTTTCCTCTCCAGTGGTGTTATTCATAAGGAGAAAAGCTTAATGTGCATCAATGCACCAAAACAACAATCAAGTGTAACCAAATTTCACTCCACGTTGTATGAAAATCGTCTTCAGTTACAAGACTGAAACCAAATGCAAATCTTAAGTTTTATACGTTAAATGTCCTCCATAAGGATTCATGATAAGGAAAAGAATTTAACGTACATTAATGTAACAAAACATACACCTACAAATACCAAATCCCACTTTACTAACACTAAGCTCTATATATGACCAATGTGGTTATGCCTAACAGCAGCCTCACCGCAAAGCAAAAACCTGAATGTTAAGCTGTTTTCTATAGGAAGGCATTGGAGAGGTTATGGGGGAAAATTTTAACAAGATTTATCAGGCCAAAACAACTTCGAAGCACAACCAACTTTCTCACTTGCCTCCCAGATCATAAAAACCATCTACTATGAAAAGGCTGAATGCATAGCCCACGGGATAATGTATAATTTGTACATTAAAACATGTGCCCCTACTGACTAGGACTATGGCTGTCACTTTTCTTTTAGCACATTCCAAAAATGTAATTATTTGGTGCCCCACAGTTTGAGCACCACTGACATGTACAATGTTCCTTGGAAGTTTGAAAAAGGTCCATGGAATACTTTTAGATTTACTGTGTTCACGAGATCATGTGTCCCTCCATGAATCGCCACCTTATGGTGGTGGAGGGGTTTGCGTGTCTCTGTGATCCTAGGAGCTATGTTGTCTCCTAAGGCAAATTGGTCCTATATGAGTGACTGGACTTGCGATTCGGAACACCCTCATGATGGTTAACATTAACAAAGTTGTAACCCAGCCTAGATTGGGAGACCGGGGTCCTGCACCAAGGGGCCCGACCAGGCATAACCTGAAAGGGTTACATGGATGCACCCTTCCGTGGGCCCACTGCCCGCAGAAGGGGCTGTGGAGGTACAGATGGGGTGGCAGTAGAAGACAAGGGCCTCGGTAGAGCTGTGCAATTAATCGAATTAATCAGAATTACAATTATGGCTTCCGACGGTTATGAAAAAAATTATAATCGAGAAAAACGATATTTGTTTGTATCAAATATTGAAATGAAGCCCTATTTTATCTTGCGCAATAAATCCAGATCGGTGCACTAATATTTCAGCCCCTCCCTAAATGCTGTTTGTAAATTCCCTGCAGCACAGAGATCAAAATGCATTCATGATCGAAATGGCAGGACGGGGACCTTTGGTTGACAAAAGAGGTAAACGCACATGAGTTATTTGAAGTCATTTTGGTTTCAATGAATTGGACCAAGAAGAACAACTATTTGCAGAATATATTTCAAAGCTGTGTCTGCACCACAAGGCAACACGACCAATTTATTTAACCACTAAAAGCTTCATAATAAAGTGCTCTATGACCAAACAGTATGTGAACAAAAAAACTCAGAAATGTCAACTCGTACTGCAACGCAGTTACACTTTAGGACATCCTCTACAATGCAACCGCGTATCCGACAAGTTCTCAGAAACACCGAGATATAACAGATGCCAGAACATATTATATAGCAAAAGGCTGTGTGGATTTGTGGCCGTAGAGCTGTTAGTGCCTGACGAGGTGGTGAACCCTGAACCCTGTGGTGGACACCAGCAGTAAAGGGAGCTGTCAGGCTGAAGAAGGAGGTCTTCCAAGCTTGGTTAGCTTGTGGGACTCCTGAGGCACCTGACAGGTACTGGTAGGCCAGCGGAAAGCGGCTTTGGCAGGTGCTGATGCAAAAACTCGGGTGTAGGGGGAGTTTGGTGAAGGCCATGGAAAGTGACCTTCAGTCTGCCTCGAAAAGATTCTGGCAAACCATCAGATGACTCAGAAGAGGGAAGCAGGGTTGTACCCATGCTGTTTACAGCAGGGATGGAGGATTGTTGACCTCAAATGCAGATTTGATGGAGTATTTTGAGGGCCTCCTGAATCCCACTGATTCGCATACCATGGAGGAAGTAGAGCTGGAAGACTCAGAGAAGGACTTATACATTACAGGGGCTGACTTCACTGAAGTACTCAAAAAATTGTTTGGTCGTAAGGCTCCAGGGGTGGAGGATATTCGTCCTGAGTTGTTGAAAGCTCTTGATACTATTGGGCTGTTTCGGGTTACAAGCCTCTTCAACATTGTGTGGAGGTTGGGAACAGTACCTTGGGGTTGGCAGACTTTGGGGTTGTCCCAGTCTTTAAGACAGGAGACCAGAGGTTGTGTTCCAGTTTCAGGGGAATCATACTCCTCAGCTTCCCTAGCAAGCTCTATGCTGTGGTACTGGCGAGGAGGGTCCGCCCATTGGTTGAACCTCAGATCCAGGAGGAACACTGTGGATTCTGTCCAGGCTGCAGAATGCTGGACCAGCTCTTCATCTTCATCGTGATACTGAAAGGTTCATGGGAGTTCATGGCCCAACCAGTCTACATGTGTTTTGTGGAATTGGATAAGGCATATAACTGTGTCCCTCGGGAGGTCCTGTGCAGGGTGCGTTGAGAGTATCGGATACGGGGTCTGTCATTGCAGCCCATCAGGTTCCTGTATAAATGGAGCAAGAATTTGGTTTACATCACCAGCAGTAAGTCAGACTCATTCTTGGTGGGTGTTGGACTCTGCCAGGGCTGCCCTTTGTTGTCGAATCTGTTCATAATTTCTGGGCGCAGCTGAGGAGCAGAGGTGGTCCGGTTCAGGGGCCTCTGGATTGCATCATTGCTTTTTGTGGATGATGTGGTCCTGTCGGCATCTTCGGGCTGTTACCTGCGATGAGGTGGTTTGATTGTGAAGCAGCCGGGATGCGAATGAGCACCTCTAGTTCCAAGGCCATGGGTCTCAACTGGAATTGGGTGGATTGCCCTCTCCTGGTGGGGGATGACAGACAGACAGGGGTCGCGGGGGGACCGGAGCCTATCCTGGGAACAACGGGTGCAGACGGGAACCAACCCTGGGCAGTCGCCAGCAAACCACAGGGCGCACACTCACAAAGCCAGTTTAGACTCACGAATCAACCTATCTTGCACGCTTTCAGACCGTGGGAGGAAACTGGAGCCCCCAGCGAAAGCCCGCATGAACACGGGGAGCGCGTGCGAACTCCACAGAGAAAGGACCCGCAACCAAACCCAGGACCTTCTTGCTGTGAGGCAGCAGCGCTAACCACTGCACCACCACACCGCCCCCATTACTATTCTTATGATTATTATCATTATTATTATTAATAAATAATAACAATAATAATTACTCTGTCCAATATCTATCTATCTGTCTATCTATCTACCCGTCTGTCCATTTCAGTATCATAAGTACTGTCCTCTCCAACTTATTTTGGAATCTGTGGACAGTGACTGCAGATATTAGTGTCAATTTAAATTAGCCACTTCGCAAAAGTGGGTGGTTTTATTCATACCGACGTTTCATACATTATCTGTCTATTTATCTATATATCTAGATAAGATAAGATAGATCTTTATTGTCACTATTACAGAAATAGTGAATAACAGTTTAGCAGCTCTGTTTAGCAGCATAGAAGTAATACATAAGAGAATAAAACACACAAAAAAGACACAGCCATCCTATTATAGACTGAGTGTCTTAGTGCAATGAGCGCACTATGTTAGTCCATACAGAAGACAGTCATTGAGGGGGGTGGCGGATGGGCGCCTTTTGACTGCCTGTAGGTAAGTCAAATCAATCAATCAATCAATCAATCAATCAATCTATCCATCCATCCATCCATCCATCCATATCGGTATCACTAGTTCTGTCCTCTGCAATTGTTTTTGGCATCTGTGGACCCGTTTAGTGAATGGAACTGCTTTCTTGCGTCATCCTTACCTTCGGCAGGGCGCTCCTCACAGCACAGTTGATTCCTCCCACCAGGACCATGTTGGGCATCAGGGGTCGGGGAAACTCAAAGGTGAAGTCATACCTTATCAGCCGCAGGGAGGCGCCCCTCATCATGTCCACCACGGTCACATCTCTCTGGAGGATGCGCGATGCTAGGCCGTCGAAGGACCAGAAATACGCTTTACAGAGCAGGGGCTCCAGCATGCTGAGCAGCGTGTTGCCCAGGCGTTGACCGAATGACATGCGGTCAGTGCTGTGGGTTAAGAGTCGTGGCACGAAGGAGGGTGGGCTGGGGCAGCCGGTGACAGAGGGATAGAGCTCGCAGGGAAAGCCACGGAGCATGTACACGCTCGGGAGGCCAAGGTACTCTGCCAGGATCACACCAATCGGCATCAGGGGGTCCGTCAGGAGGGCATCAAAGTTCTGATCCCTCAAGTACGATATCAGCTCCTCGTTGTGCAGCAGGTTCTCTACTGTGGTCGTCATTAACTGGATGACATTGCTCATAGTTTTCAAGTAGACAGATACCCACTGCAGGAAGGTCTGGTTTCCCCGAAACATCTCCATGTGCGTAGAATGCATGGCCTCAATCGTGCTCTTAGTGAAGGACACCGGGAAGACCTTGGTGGTGCAGTGCTTGCTGGGCCCCAGCCGCAGGCTCGCTTCTGGGATCACCACCACCACCGAATGTCCCCTCCTGCCCAACTCCTCTGCCACGGCCTTCACACCAGTCCAGTGGCTGCCATCCACGGGCACCACCAGCAGACGACCAGCCTGTGCCAAGCTGACGACGATGATGAGGACGAAGGCCAGCAGTGGTTGTGAGGCGGCTGTGGCTTTGCGCTTCCCTGCCTCAGTCATCTTTCCCTGACGCTGTCTGTAAGCCTTCTCCTTGATTAGTGGTCTCCCGTGTGATTAGCTGCTGTATACAATGTCACCCACGCTTCAG